AAGCTGGAATGAGATTGACAGAGATACCAGATGAGGATGAATGGAATGAAGATCTAGACAAGGTCTCCCTCATGAAAAATGAAATATCATATATCCCTCAAAATATGTCCCCCAAATGCTTGATGCTCTCAACCTTGACTTTGAAGGGTAATAACAGATTGAGAGAAATTTCAGAGTGTTTTTTTGCTAACATGCCCCGGCTGAAGTTTCTTGATCTTTCTAATACTGGCATTGAGGTTCTACCTAATTCCATATGTAACTTGGAATATCTCACTACACTGATCCTCTGTGGATGTGAGAGTTTAAAACGCATGCCTTCCTTGTCAAAGCTTAAAACACTGAAGAAGTTGGATTTGGATGGAGCAGGCCTTTGTGAGGCTCCTAAAGGCATTGAAATGTTAGAAAATCTGCAATATCTTGATTTATCTTGTCCAAACCTGAGGCTGCTTCCAGAAGGAAAAATCAGTAAGCTCTTCCGCCTCCAATACCTACGTAAACGTCAGATTTTTTCAACTGACATAAGAGGAGAAGAAGTAGCAAGATTGAAGATGCTGGAATGGTTTGAAGGTAGATTTGTTTGGCCGAAAGACTTCAGCAGTTTTGTTAGCAAGTTGAACCTCTTCGGAAGACCCAGTCATTACTTTATCACAGTGGGAGACACAGACAGGTATAGCGGGGGGCATTTTTGGAAGTTCAACAATAATGATCTTCCTAAACTGGTAATTTTTTTCAGATGCGAGATACGGGAAGAAGATGAGTTGGTCCTTCCAGGTGACCTTCAGGATTTGAGGATTGAATCCTGCAATGCAGTCGGTGATATTTCTGTTTTTCAGAAAGATTTTACTCGATTGCGAACATGTGCTTTGGAAGACTGCCTAGGGATAGGATGTGTGGTCTCTTTGTCATCATCTTCATCTACTTCCTCGACAGTTATGAATAACCTTGAAGTACTAACTCTTAAGGGTTTGCTTGGCTTGCGGGATGTTGTGAAAGTGGAAAAAACAAGAGCATCGCTTGCACCAACAATATTCCCTCACATCTTTTCCAATCTTAAACAGCTGAGGGTATACAATTGTTTAAAATTGAAGAAGCTTTTTCCATGGGAGCTGCTGCAGTGTCAGGGCCTCCAAAACTTGGAGCTGATTGAGGTGAATCATTGTTGGGGAATGGAGGAAATAATAGGATGGGAAGAAGAAGAGGAAAGAAATCAAACAACTACTCCAATATTGATCACTCTTCCAAAATTAAGGATATTGGAGTTGCAATTTCTACTAGAATTGAAGAGAATCTGCTTCGAAAGAGGAGTAATGGTTTGTGAATCTCTCAATAGCATCAATATCAATGCCTGTCTGAAGGTAAAGAGGATTCCCCTTTGTCTTGGAAGGGAAAACAAGCAACCATCTCTTCCTGCTGTCAAATATATCTATATTTTCAATCCAAAAAAATGGTGGGAATCGTTGGAGTGGGAGAATCCTGACGATAAGAATGTCATCCTACCTTTCCTCCAATGTAGTAGGTAAGTCTCGTTATATCTCCCTTTTTCTATCACTTGCATTCCATTCCTTCTCTCTCACTGGTATTTCATAAATAAATGTTTGTATCTTTTGTTTCTGAATGAATCCAAGTGTTAATCTCCATTATTTGCTCAATTATCTAATCTTGACTGATTTGCTAATAAGATGTCTGTCTCGCTAATTCCTTTTTTGATTATTCACAGCTGCGACACTTGGGTATCTATTAAATATAGTTCTGTTTAGCGTTGCCTTCTGCCTCTACGAGTTTCAATTATCAATTGACTAGTTTCTAATGCACAGCTCAGCTCAGGTATATTTCTGTTGATTTGCTTCTGATGAGATGTCTATCTCCCTTAATTGGATGCTAATTCCTTTTTAAATTATTCATTCATAGGGAGCAAGCACCTAAATGGATTTCCTAAGTCATCCATTGATTATCAATCTGGTCAATCTATGTCCACTTTCTAATGCCCAGCCCAGGTATATTTGTTTATGTTTTCTTGAACATTTTTCTTTTTCCCCTTTTTTTTTTTCTTTTGGCTGACTAATATTTGCATCCTTAGAATTAAGTAATTTCTCCATACATGTTGGTGCAGGCTACATCTCTTGCCATCTCAAACCTATTTCTTCAACTCAACAACATAGACAGCTAAGGAAAACAGAAAAAAAATGGGATTCACACTCACTTCAATCCAATGAAATCTCTGTTGTAATTTGTTGTTTTGTACTGTGGATAAACTTTGTTTAATTAATGCTTGTTCAAGTAATACTTGTTTTATTTTGTGTTGTAATAAGCAGGAAAACAAATTTGAGAAATTTCTTGTTTTATATTTTGTGACTATTAACTATATCAACCTCAACATCTTAATTTCTTTAATCACATTATTGTTCAACTCTTGTGGCAATTGAACCCACATATATATATGTAGGACACAGCAGACACTAGGTATGTATGTATACAATTATATACAATTATATGAATTTCTCTCATATTTATTTGATCTATCAATTTAGTTAAACTCTTTTTTGGCTAACTTGACAGTCCCTGTGACTTACCTTTAGATTTTTTGCAGCCAACACACCCATATTTGGAGATCAACAATTATTTAAGTCCAAAATAGTAAGCAGAATTTAGAATGATTCAATGTGCTTTCTTGCCTCTGGCTGCCTCTACACTGGTAATTAGTTGATTCTATTTTTCTCATCCAAATATTAAGTGGTTTAAAAGGATTTGATACTGTCTTTTCACCAAAGTGCTCCTCAATTCATATTATGGTTCTTATTTGTTTATCCAAATGTCGTTACTATGTTTTCTTTGTATCACACAACTTATTGAACCATGTTGCAAGGCTCTTACATCCTGCTTCTCTGAAGCTGAGCCCTAGTGCTCAGCATCTGACTTAATGGAGTTTATGTGAATTAGATATATATGAGTTGGTATAGTTGGCTTATTGTTCAACTCTTGTAGCCGATCAACCTATACATAGGCCAAATAGACCCCAGGTATGAATTTCTCTCATATTTGATATGTTGATTTTGTTAAAAACTTCCATGGCTAACGTGGGCGTCTTAAGTTCCCTGCAGAGCACACTTCTGCAGCCCTTCACTGTTTTTCCTCCTGCTTTCAGATTGTACTTTCTTCTGTACCAGCTGCCTCTACCTTCCTATTCTGGACTGGTAAATTTTCAAGATTTGAGTGTTTTTAGATTTTACTTTAACAAATTGCATATGATGTGTATCTCTTTTAATTGGATGCTAATTCCTTTATAATTACCAATCACAGTGATTCACGTGTGATCATGTGAAAGTGAAAGGAACAGCAACTACTCACACATTGCCTGTATGTACCAACATTCCCTCACATCTTTTTCTAATTAAAGAATTTTGTGTAATTATTAGTTGTTCAAGAATGCAGAATTTGTTTCCCTTTGAAAAGCTGCAGGATCTTCACATTCATGATTGCAAAGGGTAATAGCATAGAAAAATGAGGAAGGAAATCAGACAATGGATGGAAGAGCTCCATTCACTCTTCCAAAATTAACCTACGTTGGGACTTACATGTTAAAACAGAATTGAAGAGAACCTGCTTGAGCAATGGTTTGTTATTCTCTTAATTTTCACATTCCAAGTTAACTTTTTAAACTTAATAACTTATTTAAACTTGCTAGTACCAATCCTGTTTTGTCAAGTTTTTAATATGGTAAGACATGTCTTAACTCTTCTCATGATTCAGTGTTTTTTTTTTTTGTTGGGGCCTCAACTCTGATTCAGCGTTACTAATTCAAATCTCACTGAAGTTTTGGCACTAGCTGCAGCACTCTAAATTTGTGCAATTTACTTCCTTTTAGTAAAATAGAGTGATCCATCAGTTGCTGTGTCATGGTCCCCATAAATTGTTAATTAATTGCTTGCACTTTTCCATCCAAGATTAAGTGGTTTTAGATTCTATTTTAGAGGATTTAATATTGTCTTTTCTCCAATGTGATCATTAATGGATGTCATGGCTGTTATTTGTTTACCTGATCATTGGTACTATGTTTTCTCCATGTTGCCTGAGGGACTGTCTAACCTTATGGCAGCAAGTTTGCTTGAAGAATTGGCCATTGGGGATTTCTTTGTACAAGGATGAGATTAATGGAGGTTATATGAATGTATATGTAAGTTGGTATAAAAATTAGCCTTTTTATTTTTCAGGTGCTCTGGATATGGTCTAATTGGATAACTGTCCTTTTGCCATTGAAGTACCTGCTGGTTCCTCAATAGGATACAATGCGGCTGTGCTGTGGAATTGGATCCTCTTCGAGTTGGCAGAAAGGAATTCGCCTTTGTTTCAATAAATATGATTGAAATAGAGGTTTGCTCTCATTTTCACATACTTTGATATTTCCATTTGTACAATTCAACCATCTGTTCAAATGAAACCCGGGACAATTGAATTGTTTGATATATAGCTGAATTCAACTTTCTCCTGCAGGAGCAAATAATCTGCTTATTGTGGAATCCCTGGTTAGAGTTGTGTTTTAAACAAATATGCCTTCTGCTGTCACCAAGTTTGTGGGTTTATTTGACAAGAGAGAAAGTTTCTCTTGGACTTAGACAACAGTGCCCATAATTTCCTATTGAACTGGCTTCAGAAATATCCACCAATCAAAACCCAAGATTTCTTCATGTAAGGAGAGAGTTTCGCAGGCAGTAAATTTTGGGGTTCTCTTTCATACTTGCACATATAGTTATGTAAATGCTCTGTAAATCATTCCTTAATCTTGCAGGCCACTATGGACCACAACTTGTGGAGCAGGGTTTGCCTATGATCAACACAAGGACATACAAATATACGTTAATCATCTCAAAGGTTTTATGGTAAGAATAATCCCCCATGTTTATGCTTTACTGGATTGAGGGCTAAAATTGATCAACACCATTAGACTGCGCATACTTTTCTTATACATCTCAAGCATACATGAACATAAGGGACTAAGATGATATCCATTTTGCAGGTAGGCAATCCAGAAGCCGATTATTATTATGATTATAATGCCTTGCCAAGATATGCTTGGACCTGTTATGTGAGACCAAACCAGCTCTACCTCAAAGCCAAACAAGTGCAGTCTTCAAAGTCTCCATACTAACTTGCCTGAACCCTTATGAGTGCAACAATTTCATGAACACAGTCTTCGAAGAATATGCAAAGATGGACATTTTCAGAAAAAGGAGAAACATCATCAACGATTTCTCTTGGATCCATGGTAACTAGATGGCTGGTTTTAGCATGTTCCTTGAGAATTGCAGCATTGATCTTGCTGAACTTTGGACCTTATGCGTTGCTCTCCTTCTGGCTTTAGAACTTAACATTAACAATACCAGTCACCACCCTCGTAGGAACATCACCAAGAAAATCACTGGCACTACCAATACCAGGAGGTGGAGGCCAGCAGTTTCACAGTTGATTGGATGGCTAAAAATAGTCTTAAAATCATCTTGTGTTTGAAATCCCTTCCAAGGGTATTTTGGCTTATCATTCTGGCTGATGCTGATAGTATTGCATCCCTAGAATTACTAAATAAGTCACTCTTTTGAGTTATGAAGCATATATATCACATAAGGCTTAGCACATTAGCACTTTGTCAATTTCAAAAAATTGAAATTCAGAGGAGTTCAAATTCGGATCTTCAATATATGTGATTTAATTTGATTCAGCAAGCAGATTGGTGTCATTTTTACCATCGAAATTTTTTAACTTTGCCTCATTTTGCCACATCTTCTACGACTTTACTTGAGGATAAGAATATTCCATTCCCCCGGCGTCTTCTTCATTCCACCCATTTCCAGATTATGCACAAGGATATCTTTGCTCCCCAGAATAATTTTTACATTTACAAAAACAGAGTAATACGAAAAAACACAAGAACACGAACAGGTGTAAACAATTTCCTTTCATATAAATTTATAACTTCTGTTGGAGTTGTGTTGTCAAAGCTGCAATACAGTGGCGGCAAAGTGACAGCCACAGGGAGCTGCACAAAATGATAGCAAATCTTTTGAATATAATGTTGTTTTAAATGTTTGATAGATTTTCTTGTATTAAGTAAATATTATGTGAGAAAAGTACTGTTTTCTATTGTACTGTTTTTGCTATTTGTAACAGAATATCAATGGAAGAAAATGAGTTTTCACCTCATCAAAAAGGAGAGAACTCCGGGTGTCTCCTCCTCCTCCAAGTCCTCTCTCCACCCTTTCCCAAGAAAACCCCAACAACTTCAATCTCTTGCACCAGTTTCCCTCGTTTGATCCATCAACTTCCTCTCTGAAAACCAATGTTTGAGCAATCAACTATTTCTTTCTCTTCACTTCTCATTCCTTCCCTCCCCTTTACTAATTTTTATTGGAACAAACGCTTAGGTTTTGGAAATTTATTTGAAAATATTCTACATCCAATTGCATTTTGAATCAAAACAGCGGCACTGGGGAACTAGTAAAGAACAGAGGAAGACGAAATTAACAAAGCAGTACTTGGAAACACTGATGAATAGAAAGGGTATTCAGCAAAAGAGAGGAACAAATAAATTAATAAATAGATATCAAACGAAATACATGTCGTTTCAGAAAAACAAGAGGGAAATGTATATGGTAATTAAAGAGGTAACCTAATTTTTTCTTCCCTTATTTCGTCTAGAAGAAACTACTACACAACCATCATCTGCAGCTTCAGCCTTCTGCTTGGTTTTTGGTTCATCAGTTGACGCATCAACTACATTTGAAATTGGCCCTGGACTTTGGCAAATCTACCATCATGTTTGTTGTATTATCCTCACCCATGCCATCATTTTCGTCATCATCATCCTCATCCTCATCCTCATCCTCATCCTCCTCATTAAACTAGAATAAGGAAGGAATATAAAATAAGAAACATAAATTTAAGGCAAACAAAATCATTTCGAAACTATAAACTTTTGCCCACTGCAAGTTTTCATAGACTGTTAGCTTCTCCATTACATTTTGGGAACAAAAACAAAGAAAAGTCATGGTCTTTTGTGTTGCAGTGCCTCAATATACCATGTAATAATTAAAATCCACAAGCTCCCAGAAATGGATTTACTGTTTAATCAATATCAAAATTGCAATTAGTGAAAACACAGCCAAAAGTCGAAACATATAAAAGGATAAACCAGTAGAGATTGTCTTCATCAACAGGTAGTCAACACAATTCTCTAAGCAGAGTTTGAACAAAAAATTACCTGTCTGAAGTGGGTAACTGGTGGACGATTGGCCGCCCTCATTTTTTCAATAGACTGATAATTACCTTCCAAACATTATCATCAACTTTTCTGCTACCTACAGAGGGTTTTAGAAAATCTATTATCCTTCATGAAGAAAAGACGCTAAAAACGAAAACCTGAACCCCTTCCAAAACTAGTTGCAAACTTGCAAAATTAGCAGGACTAGATAGAATAAAACTGTACAATAGAAAAACTGAGATGCGATCACCATATGCATGAATTTAACTTTGAGATTGGCTCTGAACCTAAAATCCCGAGTTCATTATCAAATGGTCGAAACCAAGATAGTTCTACAAGTTATATATGTTCCTCCCTGAAATAATTCATTCAGGAAATCACGACTACAAAAAGCATTCTAGTTATTCCTAAGAATCTGGTCTACAGCAATGATGTCTGAAAAGCATCCCTATAAATCAAAAATCAGAACTGCCGAGGATATATACCTATAATTCATCGTAAAAGCTCAAGATGAACAGAAAAATCAATACCATACAAAACTAGAAATTGTAGTTCAATTCAATTCCTTGATAACCCTTGGAAACAAGGTCTCCCTATTCTTGAATACAATTACTTGCTGTTAAAGTTAAGAAGGCAACCCTTCATTTATCAACAAGCCTTAAACCAATCTAAAGAAGAAATAATGCTGCCATCCTCAGCCATCCTCAGCCATTAATATACTACATGGTAGGTACTATGGGTATTACCTCCTCGATGCTGCCATCCTCAGCCATTGTATTCAAAGAAAGCAGAGATTCCTCAAGGATCATTTCTAGATCATCAATGTAAAGAGGCTCTGAAAAGAATGTAATTCCCAAAATTGAATCAAACCGAAGGAAAAAAGAAAATTGCAGTAAGAAATCATGAATAAAGAAGTAGAAAATTCAGGCAATCGAAAATTCACAAAATCAAAACAAAAGTTGGCAAATTTAATCATACAGAAGCAGAACTCAAACTTATTCCAGAAATACAGCTAAAAAAAAAAAGGAATGGAAAAGGAAGAATTATGGGGGAAAAGCGACCACCTTTGAGCTGTTAAAGAAGGAGAAGACATCGGAGAGGAGGAGCTCAGCCCCACTCGTTTTCGACGGCCAGTTGCAGAACCGACCACCGAGACAGGAATAAACCTATTCCTTCCTGGAACAACGGCACCGATTCTGCCGTCAACTGTCTGCTAACCATTGCTCTTTGCTTGCTGCTGAGACCGACTCGAGTATGTAAAACCCTAAAAACGAGCAGATGAATACTCTTCCTTCCTGTTCCAGGAAGTAGAAGAGGAGGCGTTGGTCTCCATGGATGTTCTGTTCACGGATAAGGAAACCCAACCCATTTACAAATGGGCTATTGGGTTGGGTTGGGTTGGGTTAGGTTATGAATCTAATCACCAAATTCGGTCTATTTAATTCAACGTAATTCGACTCCGGTCCAATGGGAAAATCCTACCCAATCAAAGTGATTTCGTTTTTTACATCAATTTTGATAATGAATTATATAATAAAAAATAATTTTTTTTTCAAATCACTGCTTAAAACTCAAAATTGAAATTTTTAACTTAAAATCTTAAATTTTTAATTAGTTTACACCTA